TTTCGGCCCGGCCCGGCCCGCAATTATAAAATTTTGCTTCAGGCCCGGCCCGGCCCGCAAAAAATTGCGGGCCGGGCCGGGCCGGGCCGGGCTGCGGGACCCAACGCAGGCCTCTATTTCTGGGCTATCTGAAATGGCAGCTTAATGGAACTTGAATTGAATATCAAAGTAGTAAGAATATGTTGTGAAGTCAGTATCAGGGTTGAGGTGAACTCTACAAGAGCATAGCAGTTTAATGATATGCCCTGACTGCCAGTATTAGTCTCGGCCATAGCGATACCAGGTCAGCTGTAAGAATAGGATACAAAAAATTCAGGAAGGTTTAGTACAAGGTCAAAGGTTCCCTATTTGAGTAAACTGCTTTAAAGACTTAGTGGCCATGGCATATTTTTACCAGCATTGGCCAGAGTCGTTAATAGGCAGAGGTAGGTGAGTGGATACGGAAACAGAGTAGTTAAATAAGGAATTTACAAATAGGTTTTAGGTATAGCAGCTAGTGTAGAACTTTTGGGCAGACTACTTAAATTAGACAATGACTAAAGTTGTATGAGTGGCTAGTTGTATACTCTTTCTATAGTTGCCCCCTGTGGTTGTAAAGCATCTATTAGCCAAATATACTACTAATAAAATCCTGGATCACAAAAAAAAAAAAATAAAAATACTATTATTTTAATTAAATACTAGTATATTGGATTGAAATATCAAATAAACTATAAGAAATGCTTAAAGACAAAACAAATGAAATATATATTAGCCTACCAATTATACAACAAACAAATATTATATTTACTTTAACAATACTTAAACAATACTTTGAAATATCAAAAATTTTAAACTATATTTTATAATTTCTTCTATTTAAATAATAATAACTAAGACATACTAAAATAAATACAACACTATAGTAAAAATACTAAACATGCATTAATATATAACATTAATTAAAATAACTAAAAAAATCTTTTACTATATATAAAATACTAATAGCAAAATCAAACAGTAAGCTCAAAAAAAAAGAATATATGATTTAGAAAAAAAGCTAAAAAGATATTACTAGAGCTTGTTATAAAAGGAAAAAAACTCTTTTTTCTTTTTAAACTTTAAATAGTTTGATAAGCAACTTACTTCAACATGTTTGAAGTAGTATAGCAGATTGCACTTAGGTACTATTTGAATAACTAAATAATGCTATACTTAGTTGTTAAGAACATTTATATAATTGCTAATATAATTTAAAAATCTTAATAGAAGTGTGACAACTTAGTGAAGTGGATAAGTTGTCAACTCCCAAGTGATAAGTTATAAGTTCAAAACTTACTAATAATAAAAATTTAAATAATTACTTATATAATATACAGATGGTATTATAGCAACAACATTTTGTTGATTAGTTAGAATAAGATATCTGTAACTATAATCACAATAACATAACTAACAGATTATAGTGCATCTGTATAACTTGGTTATACAAAGGAATGCAAACTAATACTAGGTAATACAAATCTAAAATAAGTTCTTATAACTGTGTAAATCTGTAAAAGTAGGAAAAAACTAGAGCTTACTTGAAAATTCTGAATAGAAAGATAATGCAGATCTTTAACAGTATTACTGTAAAGACTAAACTTAAAAAACAGATATCAATATGAAGAAATTAGATAGACAAGAACCTCAAATAAGGATATTACCAATCAGACTGCCAGATTTTGAACTAGAGAAAAAGAATATTAGGCTGAACTTGATATATCAAAGACAGATTATAGTTCTATCAAGTTATTTAGATTGGGAGTTTAATAACAAAGCAGATATATACTAAAAGTACTAAAGATATGCTATAGCAATATTAAAGTTTAAGTGAAGTTTATTAGAGTAGTCTTTGTTAATATTTCTAATAATAAATAGATAGCTAACAAGAAAGACTCTTTGTATTTTACTAGCAGATAATATACTCTGAAATATGTAATAGCCTAGAAACTAGTACAAAAAGAATATGTATTATATTGCTTAGACAGTATACTAAATATATACAGAGAGTATAGTAGTGTTTATAAATAATAAAATAGATAATCAAAGAGTTTAAAATAAATAATCTTCTAGTAGGTTATAAGTATAATATCTAGTGTAGAACTTTAGAATAGACTACTAACTAACTTCAATAAAGTCAATAAGCATAAGTAAAATAAATGAATAAAAGATGAATAATAGGTATATAACAAAAAAAACATCTGCCATTATTCTACCTTATATTTATCAAATAATAATAGTATAACAGTAGCATAATAGCAGAATAATAGTAAAATAACAGAAGATTTGTTAATATAAGTAATATAATAGTAACATAATAGCAAAATAATAAAACAAATCTATTATTTTATTTTTAGTTACAAAGATTAAAAGTAAAATAATAAAACTGTTCTATTATTTTGCTATTATGTTACTATTATATTACTTATATTGACAAACCTCCTGTTATTTTACTGTTATTCTGCTATTATGCTGCTGTTATGCTGCCATTATTTGGTAGATATAGAGTAGAATAATGGCAGATTTTTTTCTGTTATTTACCTATTATTTACCTTTTATTTATTCATTCAACCTGTAAAAGGTTTACTATAAAGTATGACCTTTAACAAAAAAAAAATCTTAATAAAATACTAGCATAGCTGCTTAAGTTTAAAAAAAAAAAAAGTTAAATTAATAATATATAATTTAAGTACAATAAATTAAAAAGCCTTTAATCTTTTTTATTTTAAATTTATTTAAAAATTATATTATAGATTCTGTTAAATTTTAATTTTACAAAAACAATACATATATTGTAATTATTTTAAATAAACTAATCAGTAAATTGCACTCTCTTGATATTGCAATAAACAAATACTTTAAGAAAAGATATAGTATATTAAAATGTTTATTATTATTATTATTTTTTATTTTTTTATTTTTTTTAAAACTATACTATTTTTTTTTTTAAATATTAAGATAAGTACATGTAACTTAGAATTTTATTAATAATATATATTGGCTAGTATCTGTTAATATAACAGATACAAAGACAATTATAAAAAAAATATACAACTAACTATTTATACAACTTTTAGTTATTGTCTAATTTAAATAATCTGTTTAAAGATTCTATACTAGTTAGTGTTCCTCACGGGTCAGATCGGTCAGGTATTAGTAGAAACCTGAACCTGAACTGAAAAATCGATTCGAGTCTAGAACTAACTTAGACCCAGTTATAACTAACCCGAACCCAACCTAGAATGAGTGAAATAGTGATGGTGCAAAAATTTGGCGGTTCCGTAATTTTTATTCAATCTAATTGTAAGATCAATGTACAATATATGAATGTGAAGTAAAAAAAATAAAGATGAAAAAAGAACCAAAAATCACAAAAAACTTATAAATTCGCAAGAGAAACTGGTTTTGATATTATGTAAAAGTTTTCAGCACAAAAATTTAGATATACTGTATTGTTTACTTTGTATTAATGCAAACATTAATTTTTAGATAAAAATTAGGATATTATTGTTATGGAAGTAGTCATGGAACTGCCAAATTTTTGCACTATCACTATTTCATTCTCTGGAACTAATAAATTCAATTTTAAAAAAGCAAGAAATATAACTTTATTTAAATTTATATAAAATCTGCATACTACAAATTTATTTATTTAACTATCTTATTTTCTTTATTACAGCTTTGCATATTTAGCTATTTAATTCCCTCCACCAAGACCTTAAACACATTGCAGTTCGTACTATTTTATCTGACAATTGGTTTTGCTTATTAGTTAACATGTTACCACTAATACTGAAAATTTGCTCACTTGGAACACTGGTAGCTGGAATCGGAAGGCAATCTCGAGCAAATTTTGCAAGGTTTGAATAACTTAGTTCATTTATTCTCCACCATTCTAAAATATTTGTGTTGGCATTTACAAGTGATACAAACAAATATGTTTCAAGCTCACTTTGTTGCTCAACACGAGAATACTTATAAATTCGTAATAATATATTTGTTTCAAATAACTCTTCAGATAAAGAAGCTGTATTTTGATCATAAATTAGTGCATATTCCATTTCATACTTGTTAGTAATTCTAAAAAAAAAAATTATTTTTTAATTTATAATTTAATAAATTTAATTTATAATTCAAATCGCAATATACATATCCTTGATTTGAGAAATAAGTCATAATGGCCAACCAAGTGTTTGAAAATATTCAAGCTTAAGTCGTGGATTCAATATTACTGCTGCAAGAATTAATATATTTGTTTTTTCACAATAATCTAAAAGTTTTGTCATAGCATCTTTGCATCCTTTAACAAGCCATTGTGGTGTGTTCTTATTTCTTATAGCCTCTTTAAGTGTTTCAATTAATGTATAGTAAAAGAGAATTACCATTGACAAAGTCAGGTATTCTTGTTTTAACATTTTAACTATTGCTAATTAAGTATAAAAAATTAAAATAAAATTTTTATTTTTTTATTATAAGTCAAAAAAATACTAACCATCTTTAAATGGTAATAAAATTGCAGTAAGAAGCTTAATTTTCTTCCAATTCTCCTCAGAAAGTACATACTGATGTAAGTCTGATTCAGTATAAGAAAGAGTGTTCAAAACAATTTGTAATACTATTGCATGTTTACACATATCATAGGTGCTATTCTACCTGGTAGAGACATCAAGAATTGGCTTTAGCTCTCTTATATTATGAACTTGACACATTATTTTTACTTTTTTATGAAGTATTTTCGATCTTCTAATACATTTAATTAGCTCACGCAACTATATATAATATATAAATATTAAAAATAAATAAATTTAGTAAATATATAAATAAATAAAATTTAAGCGAATATATAAATAAAATTAATAACCTTAACTATTTCATCTTCTAGATTCTTAAACATGCATTGTATTGCAAGATTCAATATATGGCCAAAACATCTTATTGACTGTTGTGTGTCATCAAACCAAATACCACTTTGTGAAACAGAATCTGAAAATTTTTGTAAAAATTTATTATTTGCAGATACATTATCACGTATAATAGCTATTACTTTAGAAATAATTCCTAATGACCAAAGACATTCTTCCATATAATTAGCTATTTCTACACCTGTGTGTCGTCTATTCATATAGATGAAGTCAAGTAAAAGATGTTTCAATGATCATGATTTACTTAGATAATGAATGGTAACTGACATAAATGATTTATCATTAGTGTCTGTTGTCCAAATATCAGTTGTTAATGACACACGACCCAGAACCTCTTGTAATTTGTTTTGGAGCTTAATACACTCTTCCTCAAAATTGCTTGTAATATGCCTTTTAATTAAATCAGATGATGGTGCTACAAAAATAAATAAATAAATAAATAAAAAAATAGAAATAATTATATTGTATTTAAGTTAAAAAAATATTTAAATCAAATATTATACCTGTTGCACATGGTTCCAAGTATGTAAATATATCTCTAAGACCCTCATCTTGATTATGTAAAATGCCCGATTGTGTTTAATAATCTATTTTTTAACCAGATCAGTAAACTTTTAAAGATCAAAAGGTTCACGATTATGATTTATACTCTAGTAATTACAAATAATTATATTTAAGAAAATGATTTTAAAAAATATAATTATATTTCAAAAAACTTACAGCATTATTTTTTAACATATCTAAAACAATAATGCCAGCATCAGGTATTATATTTGATCTTTTTAATTCTAATACCTTATTTTTATATTTGGTAGCAAGGTGCCTTTTAAAACTTGAAGTTGAACCATCTTCTTGAATTTTAAGGTTTGTATTACAAAATGAGCATGCCGCAACTAATTTGTTTTTAATTTTTTTCTTTGTAAAATATTTCCATACGAATGATCTACAGTATAAATATTTAAATATATTAATATATAAGATATTATTATTAATAATCTTTTAGAATAATACAGTATATTATCTGGTTGTACATATAGAAGACTCACTACTAGTAGTAGCTTCTGCTGATGATAATAATTCACTATCTTCATCAAAGTAAGATATATTCATTGGTTCCAAAGTTTCATCATAAGATAAACTTAGTGAGTTTGACATTATACAGAATTATAATCGGTGTTTTTGTAAAAGTCTTAGCTAATTATTTCCTCAAATCAAGTAATATTTAAAGGTTTTTTTTTAGAGAAAAAAAATTTTTTTTTAAAAAAAAACAGTCTTAAAAAAAAAAAAAAAAACTTCTTAAAGAAGAAAAAAAAAAAAATTAAGGGCTTTTTTGGAAAAAAGTTATTAAATATGATTATATGCAAAAAACCCACTAATTCTTTTTGCCACTGCTATTGTCTTTTTGCACTGTTAACTTCCTAATTCCTTCTCACCTCTCCTAATTCCTTCTTACTCCTATCGTCTTTCTACTCCTACTAACGTCTTTTCACCTTCAGAACTAATATATGAATTCTTTTTTCTTATTGTTATTATGTTCAAATGTAACAAAGCAATAGTAAGGGAAAAAAAAGTAAAGGTTTAAGAGTTATTACGTTGAGATTATCATATTTATACTATTGGTTACAGATTAGTCTAATTTGAATATATGACGTCATACATACATATGTAACTATGGTCAATAAGAAATGCTTATGTTACCGGGTTAGTTCGGGTATTATTGGTTCGGGTCCATTTCAGAACCCGAATTTGCCAATTTCAAAAAATTATAGACCTGACCTGAACTATTGGTTTGGGTTCAGTTCGGGTATGAGAAACACTAATACTAGTTGCTATTCCTAAAACCTATATATAGATCTTCTATTTAAACACCCTAATTCTGTATCTATTCTACTCTATTAATAATTTTGATAAACCAATAAAAATATACCATAGTCACTAAGTTAATATTTAACTTTGTACTAAATCTACTAGAGCCTTTTGTATCTCATACTTATAGCTGATCTGGTATTACTTTGGCCTAAATTATTACTTGCAGTTAGAGCTAATTATTAAACTGTTATACTTTTGTAAGATTTATTCAAATTTTAGTACTTATCTTTCTAATGTCTTCTTTATCATCTTTTACTAATCATAGCTAAAAACTTACAAAACTCTTCAGACTTTCAATCTAGATAGCTTGATATGGTATATCTTAGTATTTTTTTTTTTTAGCAATTCCAGTAGTTGGTTAATCATATGCCTTTTAATACATTTTATTATCTAATTTATCTGCTTATTTTTATTGAAAATGTTTTATAGACTTCTATTAGTTTAATAGCACTATTAAAAATTTGTACTATCTTCTTATTTAGGATTTTCAAATAGGCTTCTGACTTTACAGTTCTTTTGTTTTCTATGTCTAATAGTTTTATTATAGATTTGCATCAAAGTTTTATACAATACTGATTATAACATTTCTTTATATATATATATAATATTATATTTCATATAGATGTCTTAAGCTTCTATTTAAGATAATGCAACTAAAAGTTACAAATACATTAATCTAACTAATTAACAGAGTTAGTTACTATAATACAAATATAATTTTCAAAATTCATCATTTATAAGATTTGAACTTTAGACCTATCACTTAAAGATTAACAACCTAACTACTTTATTAAAGCATTATACTCCAAGATTATATTATTGTAATAATAGTTTATTAATATTGTTTAAAGTTAGTATTACTATTTTTTACAGATATAAGAGTACAACTAGTCATATATGCAACTTTTAGTTGTCTATTTAAGTAGGTTACTCTAAGGCTTTATATTAAATGCTGTATTAATAATCTATTAGAAAATTATTTATTTTAACCTTCTGATTATTTGTTTCTATCTTTTTTTTTTTTAAACCTTAAGCAGTTACACTAGTATTTTATTAAGATTCTTGAAACTATATACCTATATAATTAGATAGAATTTCCTAATATCTAAGTCTAACATCACTTGGTCACCCTAATAGTACTTAAGTACAACCTGTTACACTATCTTAATTAGAGATAAACTGCTTATTTAACTATTTAAAGCTATACCAAAAGAGTTTTTTCTCTTCTGTGACAAATATATTTATTGTCTTCAAAGCTTCTTTCTTTATTTGGTTTGCCTTTTCTGCTTTTTTTTCTTTTTTTGCTTGTTTATTTTTCTTTATTCTCTTCTTTGTTTTCTTTTTTGCACAAGCATCTTTTTTTATTTTATTTGTTATATTGATCTTCTTTTCTCAGACTTGCATTTTTTCATATCATATCTTCTATACTTGGTCATAGAAGATGTTCTATACTGTTCTTGTTACTATATCTATGCACTTCTGTATCACTTGCTTGCTTATGAGTTGCTCAAACCTTTTCTCTATATTTAGCATCATAAGTCTCTTTATCAGCACTTTTCTGTTTACAATTTCTTTAGCTTCTATTTTTCCAAATAATGTCTTATATAGAACTTGTAGTAGAATTATGTTTTCTTCTTTTTTCTTGAATCTATTCTATACTGTTGCTGTTGCCACTTTTTGAATCTACTTCCACAAACTTTTTTGTCTGCTACAATTTGTTAAATGTGTCTAAGTCTCTTTTTCTTCAACTTGGTATACTTGGCACTCTGCTGTTGTGTATACTTCTGGTCTTCTTCTGTTTAGCTCTTCAAGTGTTAGTAGGTTATCCATTATGTACTTGATTGCTATAGCTCTTCTTGTGCTAAGTTTTCTCAATGTACAATAAACTTCTTTTGTTTTGTTCATTTTTTTCCAAAAACTTGACCAATTATGTATTGCATTTTCTGTTTCTGGTTCTAATATTTATATTGGGTTTGTCTTTCTTTAACTGGCTTCTATTCTGGTATTTGCTATTATTTTACACAGAAGTCTTATCAGTATGTCAATTTTCTTGTTTTTTTACTCTAAATGGTACTTTATTCTATCACATTTGATTTTATCTGCATATATTTTATTTCAGCAATTTGCTTCTTTTTTTATAAGAAAGTTTGCTCTGTCATTCTACTTATTTTTACTATAGCTTTTAACTTTAATTATTTCTATCTTAATTTTCTTTCTCTTGATTAGACCTACAATGTTCATTATCCACATTGCATTTTTCTTTTTCAGAGTTTTTTCCTTTTCTACATTTTGAAGTGCTCTATTAATGTTTCTTAATGCTGCAATGTTGTCTGTAAACACTTCTACACTTTTTCTTTCTGATAATGTTAGAATTGCTGTTCATATTGCTGCTAATTCTGCTATTGTTGCTAAAGGCCAACCTTCAAGTCCCAATATGGTTTCCTTCTTTTGCCAATCTTCTTTTTCTTCTACTTGTACCTAACTGATACCTATTCTTTCTGTATTGCTTTTTTTTTTCTTCTTATATAATGCTTCATCAATATAAAAACTATATTTTTTCTTGTTTTTCTTCTTGTTATATATCAATATCTCTACTAACTGATTTGTAATCATGCTATTGTAATAAAATTTACTAAAAACTATCAAGCTGTAGCAAATTTTAAAGTGATGAGTGTCGAGTGGAAGATCTTTT